TCCTCCCCCCGCGGCGGCCGGCTCCGCTCGTTGGCGTTGCCTGGGGTCCTTTTCCTCCCGGTCCCCGCCTGCTTGCCCCCGCTGCGCCGTGCCCAGCCGGGCCAGGCCTGGAGCCGACACCACCGCCATCATGCCGGCCGTATCCAAGGGCGATGGGATGCGGGGGCTCGCGGTGTTCATCTCCGACATCCGGAACTGTGAGCGTGCGGCCGGGGGACCCTGGAGGCGGGGAGCGATGAATTGAGGGGGAACATAATTCCTTGCCTGTGGGGTAGAAAACCATGGCGGTCATGGAGGGAGAGGGTAGATAGGGCCCCGGGGGAACTTCAGGGTGGGGGAGTGAAGGGGCTTAGGGTGCCTCTTGAGGTGACTACACGGAGTGGTTAAGAGACGCCCGAGAGGGTCTTAAAGGTGAGGAGGTTAGTAAGGTTCCGAGGATGGGGGCATAGAGGTGTCCCCGGGAATGACGGGCTTGGGGGTCCTATTAGACTGGGATCCCTGATGCAGATAGAAAGGGAAGGCGGTGCATGGGTGTGTGTCGGGGGTACCCCGTGGAGCGATCGAGTGTGTGTGTGGGGGGAGGGGGGGCAGAAGGGACCGGGAGGACGTAAAACCCTGGAAGCCCAATGGGGCCGTGCTTGAGGGCCTGGGTGAGAGGGTGTCATAGAGGGAGGGGGCTAGATAGGTCACCGGGGCTCTTGGCCAGGGCACAGAGAGCGCCCGGGTGGGACAGAGAGTCCTAGGGGTCTGGGGAGGAGAGATGGGAAGGGGGAGGACTGTGGCGGGACCCTGGGGCAGGGTCGAGGGGCTCCAGGATGGAGGCTTGCTCAGGAGGATGGAGGGCAGTGGAGAAGGGGCTTGGAGGGTGACTGAGGGGGAAAGGAGGGGCTCAGAGAGCACCCAGGGGAGACATTGCCCATAGAGAGGTTTGGGAGGACCCGCGACAGGGAGCTGTGGGCCTGGGATGGAGAGGACACCGTCAGGTGCGGGCCCAGGGGATGTTCTAGAAAGGGGAGAGAGCCAGGGGGCCTTAGGGGTTTGTGGGGAAGAGGTCTGAAGAGCTGGGGGTCCGGCGGGGTGGGGGAAAGCCTGGTCTCAGGGTCCAGGGAGGCGGACAGTCTGGAATCTGGAGCCTGACCATGGCAATATGGGGACAGCCGTCGCCAGCAGGAAGGACTGTGGCGGTGATGGGAGGCCTGGTGCCAAGTCAGCTCCCAACTCCTCACAGCAGGTGTTGGTGCTGGGAGCTGTCAGGAGCTTCCCGGACTCTGTGCGCGTGGCCTTGGGCCCGGCCAGACCTGGGTTCGAGGGCTGTCACCGCCCAGCCGGGTGACCTTGAATGAGGGACCTCACTTCTGTTTCCTTATCTGCCAGGAGGGATAAGGCTGTCCCCACTTTGCTGATGAGAGTGTTGTGATGATGTATGTAGACGGGGCCTTTCCCACATTCCAGGCACCAGACAGATCTTTGGCTATTGTTCTTGTTTTGCTGGGTCTGGAGCAGTGGCCCCTCTGAGGTGCCCAGGGGTTGGTTTAGGGTTTAGTAGATGTGGAAGGGTCTAGGATGCGTTAGATCTGGTGAAAAGGAGGGGTGGGAACTGTTGGCATCCGGTGGAGGAGAGATGTTGTGGTCATTTATGAAAAGGGGTGGAGTTATGAGGGGTTTGTGAACTCCTTGGGGGGCCAGCTGTTAGAAGCAGGTGTGCCTTGCCCTAGCCAGCTTGGCTCAGTGGATAGAGCGTCCGCCTGCGGACTGAAGGGTCTCAGGTTCGATTCCGGCCAGGGGCACATGCCTGGGTTGCGGCTCGATCCCCCGTACGGGCTATGCAGGAGGCAGCCGATCAGTGATTCTCTCTCATCATTGATGTTTCTATCTCTCTCTCCTTCTCCCTTCCTCTCTGAAATCAATAAAGAAATATATATATTTTTAAAAAGAAGCAAGTGTGCCTATTAGCCATGTGACCCTTGGCAAGTCACTTAACCGCCCTGATGCTCAGTTTTCTTGTCTGCAAACCCCAGCATAACAGCATCTTACCTTGGAAGGTTCATTCATTCAGTTGACAAGTACTTTAGATCACTGGTGTGCCAGACTGTTCCAGGGACTGGGGCTACAGCATGAGCAAAAGTCCCTGCCCTCGGGGGCACCATGGCAGGAGGGAGATAGAAAATAAACACAGATGACTGGCAATAAATGACACAGTGTCACACTGTGAAGAAATATAAGAAAGGGGGGAGCAGGAGGAGAGGGAGCTCGGTGAAGGCCTCACCGAGATGGCTCCCTGCAGACATCTGCGTGGAGACCGAGTGAGGTGAGGGAGTGAGCTCTGTGGTTTTGGAGGAAAGAGGGGTCCTGGCAAGGCAACCATGCATTTGAAGGTCCTGAGGTTGCGCTCGCTCAGTGTGTGTTCACTTCAGAGTGAGGAGACCTGCGTGGCTGGAGCCGAGGGCGGGAGCTGAGGGCAGAGAGGGTGCGGGAATGTGTAGGGTTTGTGGGTCAGTGAGCACTTTGGCCCTTCCTGAGTGAAATGAAAGCGGTGGCAGGTTTTGAGCACAGGAGGGACATGAGCTGATGGATATTTTATTTATAAGAATTCCTTTTAAAAAGATATAGTTTTATTGATTTCAGAGAGGAAGGGAGAGATAGACACATCAGTGATGAGAGAGAATCATTGATCAGCTGCCTCCTGCACGCCCTGCACTGGGGATCGAGCCCACAACCCAGGCATGTGCCCAGACCAGGAATCAACCGTGACCTCCTGGGTCATAGGTCGACACTCAACCACTGAGCCACGTCGGCCGGTCCTATTGATGTTTTAAAGTCATTCCTTTGGCCTCCGTGAAGAGCACAGACTGGAGGAGGTGTGCGTGGACGCAGGGAAATAATTAGGGGGCTGTTGCAGGCGTCCAGGTGCGAGATGGTGTTGGCTTGACTGGGGTGAGAAGGAAATGTGGGGAGATAGTTAGGTCTGGGATCAATTGTGAAGGATTTGCAAAGAATCATGGATTGAATGAATCATGGTGGTGCAGCAGGAAAGAGAAACCAGGCCAGTGTCACTGCAGGACCTGAGAGGGAAGCCAGAGGACAAAGGGGAGGTCCAAGTTGGGGGCAATGGAGGTGATTTCACCAAATGCATTGGGGCTTCCTCTTGTCCTTCCTTTTCTCAAATATGTGTTGAGTGGCTGGTGTGTTTCAAGCCTTATCATGGGTGCTGGGGACGTTGGTGACTAGGATGGACTTGTCCGTGCCCCTGTTAAGGAGACAGGTACTGCCCCCCAAATGCAGCTGTTCTTGTCACACACACACATAAGTTGTGTACAGATGTTTCCACAATTGCCAAAAAGTGGAAATAAGCAACCCGAATGTCCATGGACAGATGATAAACAGATGTTCCGCCCATGCAGTGGAATATTATTTAGCCATTAAAAAGGATGACGTACTGATAGGTGCTACAACATGGGTGCACCTTCTAAGTGAAAGAAGCCATATACACAGAAGTGGAGGCTCCCATGTATCTGACATGTCCAGAACAGGCAAGTGCATAGAGACAGAAAGCAGATTAGTGGTTGCCTGGGGCTGAGGTTGCCTGGAATGTGGAGCGACTGCTAATGAGCACAGGATTTCCTTTTGGGGTGAGGAAAACGTTCTGGAATTAGATGGTGCTGATGGCTGCACAGCATTGTGGATACGCGAAAGACCACTGAATTGCACACTTTAAAAGTGGTGGCCTGGTCCTAGTCGGCTTGGTTCAGTGGATAGAGCATCAGCCTGTGGTCTGAGGGGCCCAAAGTTCAATTCCAGTCAAGGGCACATGCCTGGGTTGCAGGCTTGATCCCCAGTGGGTGGCATGCAGGAGGCAGCCGATCAATGATTCTCTCTCATCATTGATGTTTCTCTCTCTCTCCCTTCCTCTCTGAAATCAATAAAATACATTAAAACAACAAGAACAACAACAAAATAAAGCGGTGACCTCTAGGGTATGTGAATTATATCTTCACTTTTTTCCCTTTTAATCCACAACCGAGGATACATGTTTCTTCTTTTAAAGTTGATTTTTAGAGAGAGAGGAAGGGGGAGGGAGAGAAATGTCAATCCACGCCTCTTGTATTCGTCCCGACCAGGGATCGAACCCTCAACCTTTTGGTGTCCAGAACAGTGCTCCAACTACCCGAGCCACCTGGCCAGGGCTATACCTCAGTGTTTTATTTTTTAAAAAATATTTCAATGATTTTTTACAGAGAGGAAGGGAGAGGGATAGAGTTAGAAACATCTATGAGAGAGAAACATCGATCAACTGCCTCCCGCACACCCCCTACTGGGGATGTGCCCGCAACCAAGGTACATGCCCTTGACCGGAATCGAACCCAGGACCCTTCAGTCCGCAGGCCGACGCTTTATCCACCGAGCCAAACCGGTTAGGGCTACCTCAATTTTTTAAGCGGAAAAATATTGTACCTGTCCTAGGTCCCGTGAGGGAGAGGGCCTCAGAGTTGAGGGAAGGGGGCTGATACCTTGCTCAGACTGCACAGTTAGGCAGGCCCAGGGAAGTGGAGAACTGGGAAGGCATAGGGCCAGCAAGTGCAAAGGTCCTGGGTCCCAGTCGAGGCTCTGAGCTAAGCCTAGGGCCTGGGGAGTGGGGCAGAGAGCTCGTCCTGGGAGCACTGGAGGGTTTCCAGCAGGAGGGAGGGAAGAGAAGGGACGCGGGAAGAAGTACTGCTGGGCAGTGAGCAGGTGAGGAGGGCGAGGAGGCAGAGACACCACGGGGAGATCTGAAGAGCACAGTGGAGTTCAGGGAGGAGAGCTAGAGGGAGATGAAGGGCAGGCTCAGCGGAGGGCCGGGAAGGGCAAATTCTGCAGATAAGAGAGGTTGAAGCTGGGTGCAGCCTGAGGGTGTGGTCCTGGCCCGACAGCGGGGAGCAGGGGGGACTTATCTGCCTGGAGCTCCCGAGGGCAGGGGCTGGGCTGCCACCTCTCCAGTCCCTCCAACCCTGGGCGAGCTTTTGAGGGAGTGAATGGGGGGAAGGGTGCTGAGCAACCCATTAGGGCGCATCCCACTCCACATGTGGCCCATTCCGTCTGTGACATCTCCCCCAGCCCCTGAGCACGGGCCCTGGTCTGATCCTTCCCTGGATCCAGTCTGCCCACTGCAGGAGCTGGCCCAGCGGAGTCCTCAGGAGATATTTGCCCATTGAATGAATGA